AGTAGTGGTGAAAACGTGCAGCACATTTTCTTTTCCTGCCCGAAGTATGACACCGAGAGAGCAGACCTAGAAAAGCTGATAAACGATCGAGTAGCGCCAGAAAACATTGTGCACCACATGATGCAATCTATGGTGTGGAGTAGAGTCAAAGCGTGGTCCGCTATAATTCTTCAGGAACTTAGAAGGAAAGCGTGGCAGCGCAGTAGCGATAATAGAAGACTGACTGAGAGGTGGTCCCGAATGAGGTGTACCCTTAGCGGACAGGATGACGAATCGTGCATAACATCTTTGGAAGATTCCCTCTCCGTTGGAAAAAAAAATGTACAACCATTCAAACGTATGTACATAAATGAAAACATTGATGTCCATAAATAAATACATATGTCCATCAGTATTAGGGATTAGGGAAATGAATTGAAACGTACCAAATAAATAAAAATGTACCAACAAAAAATTTAAACGCTTTCACAAAAACAACTAATGTGTAAAACAAATATACATTTATCTAACGCCTTTTAAATAAACATCGAGTAAAAATATACATATTTGTGTTAAAAGTAGGAAAAAATTAGTCAGTCATTTCACTTTCTGTGAGATCGTAAGTCAAAATTTGGTTTAAAGACTCTGTATGTATTGTTATATCATGACAAAAACTTTGAGAAGGTGTGATATGATCTTTTGCTTTTACTAAAGAACCAAGGGTTTTTACTTATAATCTATTTCTACGTTTGGTTTTTATCAGAATCTGAACAGAAAAGACACGTTCAACATTTGCGGAGGAATGTGGAATAGACAATATACCTTGAGCTATTTTAAAAAGGTTTGCAAACATCGGGTAGTTCAGTTCGTTTTTAATTAATGTAATTGGTTCCCAAAACTCGCATATATTTAAATTTTTTAAGTTCTCGTGCTCCGGTAGAAAAGGTGTGAGATAGAAAAAGACAAAGCCAATTCTATAAGAAATCGGAATTACCAACCTTGTAATGTAAAACAAATTCAGTGGAAGTTTGTAGTGGAAGGAAGAAAGTATTTGTATAAATAATTAGAAGTTTTGAACCGACGTAAATGTAAAACCAATCGAAATATCACAGCGCTGCATTTCCAAATTGTACCAAAATGGTCTATGTGGTGTCAATGTACTTTTTGGTTTCAAATTTTACCAAAAAAGCACAATTGTGGCAACTTTATTATCGCTGATCAGTATATCAACGAAGTCTGTTTGTTTCATCTTACAAACATACGTATATCCATACAAACATATGTACATATGGGCAAATGGTTGTGGTTACACGAAGCACGCTTGCTTTATTTAAGTGTACATATACTTTTTGGTAGCAGCAGCCCTGAAATGTGAAATAAGTTCGTTCGATACATATATGTATATGTACATACGTGCATTAAAACACGTACCTACGTACAGATGTATGTATATTTATACGTATATATTTTTTCGACCCTGTATGTATATGAATAAATTGCTAACAGACTTCCTCCATTCAAAATTGAAATACTCGTCAATTTTCGCATCAGCGCGTTTTTAAAAATCCCACATTGTAAGTTATACTAGAATTCCACGGGCTAGAAAACTGCATTCCAAAAAAAAAAATTGTAAAAAGTCAGAGTAGAATTTTTCTAAATGTTGTATAAAATTTTAAAGTTTGGTTTATATAGGTAGTTAAGATTTTAATTTTTTGATTGAAGTAACATTTCTCTTCTTTTTTATTGGCGCTGTAACCGCCTAAGCGATTTTGTCCGAGTCCAAAACAGCACGCCAGCCATTTCTCTTCTGTGCTAACTGACGCCAATTGGAAATGCCAAGTGAAGCCAAGTCCTTCTCCACCTGGTCTTTCCAACGCAGAGGAGGCCTTCCTCTTCCTCTGTTACCAGCATCGCGGCCCGAGTTGAATATGTTCAGACCAGGAGCGTTTCTGTCCATTCGAACGACATGGCCAAGCCAGCGGAGCCGCTGAATTTTAATTCGCTGCACTATGTCTATATCGTTGTAAAGCTCATACAGCTCATCGTTAAACCGTCTGCGATATTCCCCATCACCAACGCGTAAAGGTCCGTAAATCTTTCGCGGAATCTTTCTCTCGAAAACTCCAAGAGCCGCCTCATCAGATGCTTTCATTGTCCATGCCTCCGCGTCATACCAGCACAGGCATGATGAGTGACTTATAGAGTGTGATCTTTGTACGACGAGAGAGGACTTTACTTCTCAATTGCCTACCCAGCCCAAAGTAGCACTTGTTGGCAAGAGTGATTCTCCGTTGGATTTCAAGGCTGACATTATTATTGGTGTTAATGATGGTTCCCAAATAAACGAAGTCGTCTACTTTTTCAAACTTGTAACTGTCAACAGTGACGTGGGTGCCAAGACGCGCATGCTCTGACTGTATATGTGATGACAGGGGATACTTCGTTTTGTCCTCGTTCACCACCAGACCCATTCGCTTTGCTTCTCTATCCAATCCCGAGAAGGCAGAATAGACGTTTTGAACGATAATATCGATGTCGTCGGCATACGCCAGCAATTGTAAGCTCTTGTAAAGTATTGTGCCTGAGCGGTTCAGTTCTGCGGCTCTTATTATCTTCTCCATCAGATTAAAGAAATCACACGAAAGGGAGTCCCCTTGTCTGAAACATCGTTTGGTATCAAACGGCTCGGAGAGGTCCTTCCCTATTCTGACGGAGCTGGTCAACGTCATTTTACACAACCGTATTAGTTTCGCGGAGATACCAAATTCAGACATCGCGGCATAAAGGCAACTTCTCTTCGTGCTGTCGAAAGCGGCTTTTAAATCGACAAATAGATCCTATTCTCGCTGGCCTTTTCCAAGATTTGGCGTATTGTGAATACCTGATCTATGGTGGATTTTCCAGGCCTAAAGTCACACTGATAAGGTCCAATCAGCTCGTTGACGGTGGGCTTCAGTCTTTCGCACAATACACTCGATAAGACCTTATAACCTATGCTTAGAAGGCTGATTCCGCGGTACTTTGCGCGTATGGCGGGGTCGCCTTTCTTGTGGATTGTGCAGAGCACACTTAAATTCCAGTCCTCGGGCATGCGTTCATCTGACCATATTCTGCATACGAGCTGATGCATGCACCTCATCAGCTCCTTGCCACCGTACTTGAATAGCTCGGCTGGCAGGCCGTCAGCTCCAGCAGCTTTGTTGTTTTTCAGCCGCGTAATCGCTATTCGTACCTCGTCATAGTCAGGCGGTGGGACAGCTACTCCATCATCATCGACTGGGGACTCGGGTTCGTCTTCTTCACTACTTTCAGCGTTGCTACCATTCAGTAGGTTGTAAAAGTGGTCCCTCGACAATTTAAGTATATTCGGTCACTAGGTCGCCATTGTTATTCTTACAGAAGTTCGCCCCGGTCTTGAAACCTTCCGTGAGTCGCCTAACCCTCTGGTAGAATTTTCGGGCGTTCTTCCTGTCGGCCAGTATCTCAAGCTCTCCGCACTCACGTATTTCGTCCTCTCTCATCTTATTGCCGCAAATACGTGTCGCTTCCTTCTTCAGTTCCCTATAACGGTCCCACATGGCTCGCGTTGCTCCCAATCGCAGCGTGGCCCTGTAGGCGGCATCTGTTTTCTCTGCGGCTTCTTGACATTCCTCATCGTACCAGTTGTTCTTTCGGACTCGCTGAAATCCAACTACTTCTTCGGCGCCGGTACTTAATGATCGGGAACTGTGGTTCCACTGCTCGCGTATGTCGGATTGTTGAAGAGTGCTCTCAGAGAGCAGGTGTGTGAGTCGAGTGGCGAAAATATTGGCCGTCTGAAGTAACATTTCAGACAGGCAACGATGGGCAAGCTCATGCGCGGTGGTGAAAACTTCCGGCGGTTTAATCACATGCCTTGTGGTTAAATTGGCGAAGTTGGACATTAAGCGGTGAACATGTGCAACGTAGCTGCACAGGTTGTACGGAGGGGGGAATATTGCGCCGGTTCGAACGGCTAAGCCGCTGCTCAACTCAGCAATTCAGCATGCACAGGAACCCTATCGCAGTCTTTAACATTTCCTTTTTTCTTCTTTCTTTGCATTTAATTGAATTCTAAGAAGTCCAGTCGCACGAAAATTTTATAAATTTATCAATTTAAGAAATTTGTAAACGATAAATTTGAATTTGTAATTTAAACCATTTGCTATCAAATTCTTCTTTTGCTTGCGCCGTTTAGTGTGACGGATCCGCGCAAGTGTAAGTAATTTGATGGAAATTGTTTTATTCTCAATAACATTTGGAATTTTAGGTTTGAGCTCTCTCTTACTCCTTCTAGAATAAGGCATAGAAGCTTATAATAAATGTTTTATTCACCAGCGCACCTTGTAAAACAATAGTCGCATTAAAACAAATCAAAAAACTCAAACTTTACAACACAACTTTTGCATTTGGAAAAACCACCTCCACAATTTTGATAAAAAAGTTTGAGAATCCGACATTTTGTTTTTAATAAGTACTAAGAACTGTAGTTAAACTCAGTTTCTTTCGAATTAGTACCTAGTTTATTGAGTAAAAATTTCAAATCAATCGATAGTAAAACGTCTGAGATATAGCGAGTTTAATTGAAAATTCCGCAAAAATTGGACGCTGTGAAAAATAAGATTTTTGGCTTTTTCGACATGAAGGCATTAGTAAAAACTTGGCTAAAATTAACTGTAAATGTATTTTCGTTTAAGCTTTCGATCACGATTGGTTTGAACTGGTTACTTTGACCCAAACACTTTTTTAATTTCTGGAGCACTTTTTGGGAATAATCGGCAAGCTCATTTCATTTTGTTCACCACATTTTAAAGTTCTGAAATTTATGTGATATATTACATCCGGATATTCATATCCTGATATAAACGCGACAAAAAGAAATGCATTTCCTAATTTCCTAGGTATAGAACATATTGAGAGTATTTAGGTCTTCAAAATATCGGTTCTATATAGATTCTAATTGCTAAATTGAGAACTTCGCTTTACGAAATTGTTAAACTTACCCGAATGCAACTCTATGGTGAAAAGCGTACGCACTTAGTAAATATCGCAATCTTGTCCGGTTTCTAGGTTCAAAAACCAGCGCACGGACGCGGTTATCCATCCAGCCTCCCAAAAATTCATCCACATTGTTGTCATCGATTCTTTGGGTTATTGAATGGGGCATTTTTTTCCTTACGAATTCTATAACAAAATATACTTAAGTTAACTACTGTATAAAACTTAGTTTTCATTAATCAAGAAAACGCACAAGAAATATTTATCAACACTTATATAAGGTTTGTTCCACAAGCTGCTCGATGTCACATAGAGTTACACATACGCGTTCCACAAGTAAGTTTTAGAGTTTATTTGATATACGCTGACAGTTTGAACTTTGCTCGAATTTTTCTACAAGTAACTTGTGGAACAAACCTATTGTTTCAAAAATTTTGATTTTGATGATTATGCATAGTTTTGTAGGTTTAAGGTATCCACACACCTACGCGATTTTGTCGCAATGAATCAGCACCGTTTTTGATGCTACAGACGTTACTGCATCGAAAACGCAAGTACGTACACATCTGTGCGATTTTATCGCCGTAAAAACTGACAATTTATAGACAAACAAAAAATATTTTTCGACAAAAATAAAATTCTTAACTTTTCTACATCAAATATGTTTTGTTTTCTTATATTACGTTCAAATTGGCACCATTTAACTTGTTAAATGAAAAAGAGCTTTTTGGAAAACACAATCGTTCTCATTGAACATTTGGAGTTAACTTTGACGGTTGTTTGATTACCAATAAAAAAAATTTTGAAAATCAAGTTTTTGTGCTTCAATTTGTTTTGTGCGAATGTCTGCTTCATGATATTAACGCATACGAATTACTTAGAGACTTCAAAATGTTTAGTTCGTATGCACTATTTATGTCTGCGTACGATGAGACCTCATGGAAAATTACTAATTACCGCTTTGGGCTCTTTTTTGGCGGACAGACATGCATAGAAGTTTGATATTTTTTGATGATTTTTAATATTTAATATTTTTGAGAATAAAATTTTTTTGAACGTTGGCGTGTCAAATGAAGGCCTTTGTGTCTTTCTGATTGGCCGGAGCAGAAAGCTTTCTGATACAACTCTGCGCTGAACTGGTTTTCACACGAGTTAAATGATTTAAGGTTCAATTTTCGAACAACAATTGCATGCGATTTACTTGTTTATGTTCATTTAACTGGTTCAAGCCCATTTAACATGTTTAGCTCGTCAATTTGAACACATTATTGTAAAATCCTTCTATCGACCTTTTTCGTTCTCAAAACGCAGCACGACGAAAAGAAGAACTGTGCATGTTCGAATAAATCGCTGCAGCAAAATCGTATAAATCATTTAAAACTATGGCCGGCATTGTTGTAATTTTTTTCGGAACAGATTCGCACCGACAGAATTGCATAGGTGTGTGGATACCTTTATGGTTAAAATCGCTATAACTGTTGAGTATTTTTCAAAAGGAAATATATTATAATAAGAGTTTCCGTATTGTTTTTCGCGATCTGAAACAACCCCAGCGCATTGTAACCCCAAAACTAGCTAAAACCCCAGTGAGTCAAGGTGATGGCACTGTTTTTTTTCTTTTGCATGCTGCGTTTCCTTTACCGACGCTGATCATTTTTCTAATACTCGTTGAGTCTATAATGCTTGATACACATTTAGGGTATTCACAGTTTACTTTTAAAGTTAAAAGGTGGCAACTTTAACAAGATAACACACTCGAACTGTGAGCCACCCTGCACACATGTGTTTGAAATTGTCAATAAAACAAATGTAGACAGATATATATTTAAAAATCTTTCGAATTGGGCCCACCTTATGTTTTTCTGCTTCACTATCCATTTTTTCTTAGCGCGAATAATTAACTAAACAGAGATGCCAGTTTAAAACAACACAAAAACATAAGACAAAGTCGAGTAATTTTGCCCAAAAGTGTTATCTCTAATGAGTATGGGAACCAACAGCAAACAAAGTTACCACATGGTAAAATGTTTTAAAGTTACCAGGTAGCAAAATTAACACAGTAGATAATATAGAACTGTAAAACCTAATTAAAAACGACGGGCCACAAGTCACAGCTTCCAATTGGTTATCTTCATTATCTAAACCCTTTGTCCACGGCGACATGCATTTTTTGAACGCCGCTGTAGACTCCGACCGATTAATCGGCATCCGCCGTTTTTTGGCCGATTCCTTTTAATTTTTCCGCACTTCATTCAGTCCATGTTATTTATTTTTTGCTTTTTTAATTCCTTAAAAGCTTAAAATATTAATGCATCTTAGTCCCCCTGTCAAAAATCTGTTCTTATGTTTCGTTTTTATGATGTACGGTGGCGAGAATGTAACTACGGAAGACACATTTTAGCAACGGCTATTGCAGCAGGCTCAACTCCTACATGACCAGAATCAACGAGGATGTGCCCAACCAATGCCCGGCATGTGGAGTGTCGCCACATGACTCCCGGCACCTCTTCACATGCCCTGATAACCCAACTCAGCTAACGCCCCTGTCCCTATGGACAGCCCCTGTGGAAGTAGCACACTTCCTGGGCCTCCCCCTAGCTGAAACTGACGACAACGTTGATGGATGAACCGCCCCGAACGGGGCTTAGTAGCCGCTACAACAACAGCAACAACATATTTTAGCAAATTTTGGCTATTTTTCGTTGTTTAAATTTTTTTTTCATTTTTTATGAAAATATAGATTACTACCTAACAAAACCATGTAAATCAAAATTTCAAACTGTTTAATCAGATTTTATAGAACCTTTTTGAGTATGATTTTTTTTTTTTAATTTTAGTGTTAGTAATAAAGGACTTATCATTAATTTTTGGCAATCAAACAAAATAGTTGCCAAATATCAACGGCACCTAAGTCTTAGAATTTGCAGTTCGTTATAATACAATTGAATGGGCTACAAATCTGCACACTCCGAATGTTTCTGAAAAATCTAATTAAAAAGCTGTCGAATTTTGCTAATTTTTGTACAAAGTTTGAAATTTTTACTTGCATGGTTTTTGTTAAATAACGACCTATACTTTTATATAAAAGTAATAAACATTAAATAAACGAAAGGCAAATAGCCAAAGAATTCTAAAATGTCTCTTCCATACTTATATTTTCGTCACTGTATGTATTGTTACGATTATCCTTGAATTAATCGCTGAATTCCTAAATCTTTCTGGTTCTTTTCACTGGATTGTTAAATTATTTACGTTACAACCATGATACAAAAAAGAAGTTAGTTTCAATAAACAATTTTTGACGGATAATAAATTGTTTTGAACGTTTATAAATTGTGAGCATGATTCAATTATGTAAGGTCTTGTAAGTAGCTTTTTTCTAAAATTTGGCACTCCCACCCACAGGGATGGTTTATGGAAGCAGGAGAAAAAGGGGAAGAATTCAATCACACTTCCTAAAATGGGAGCTAAATTCCATAAAAAGGTGTGGATAATAGTGAATGGTGGTATTTTAAACAAAAAACGAATTTGATTTAATTATTTAATTTAAACAAGCTTATTTGCATCGAATATAACCCCCGATTGTTATTAAAAATAAATATTTCTATGTATATACCAAACTTGCGTACGTCAGATGGCGCATAACTCGCTTCCACACTTTCAGCTTTTTTTTGTTGTATTTGTTTGCCAGATGATGGACATGAAGAAGCTATTTGTTTGTGGAAAATATGCAATATTTATAAAAAAAACGGCAAATAAAAAAATTTGGAGCTACGTTTCTTTCGCGGTTATGGCTCAATTGTTTAGAATATGGTAATTCGAATACTTTGATGTCACACTTTTAATGTTCTGGGGCCTTTCAACTAATCGCTTTCAACAAAGGTGGTCGCCAGCCAACATTCGCCTCGTGCGTACACCTTTTAAGTGTGCAATTACATCGCGCCATTGACTAAACCGAGCTGTCGTGTGACGATTGGGCCTATGGATGCAGTTTGGCAATGTTATATTGCGTCCAAAGTCTCATTTGGAGACACCAGGATTGTGTTGTGGAGGACAATACCTAAATACCTTCGTTGGCTCATTTACCAAAACCATTGAACGCATTACTTTACAGCGACTTGGCAGAATCAAGAGGTATCCACGAATACATTTCGGCATTTAAGGGAATTTCGTATCTTTAGCCTACATTGAATTTCTGTAGTCCAACGATTCTCACCCATTTTGTCTTGTTGGCGCTAGCGAATGAAGAACAAGAATTTCTTCAAAAAATTTAAAAAGTAAAATTTTCACTACTAACAATTTAAAAATGTTCTTAAAACTTGCAAAGAAATATCACTGCTTTTGTTTTTAGGAGTAGGGTGGGAGTGTCATTGATAAAATTAGAGCGAGAGAAACTTTTTCTTACAAAACCTTTCATTATTGAATCATGAATTGTGAGTATATCAACGGCCTTGCCACTTTGCTAATATTAAAACAATAAATCGCGATATTTTCTTTCCCATATTTATGCCAATGTAATAAT